GAGAGAGAGAGAGAGAGAGAGAGAGAGAGAGAGAGAGAGAACGAAAGAAGCGTCGACCCACCGACTGTCAAAAACGGGCGTCGCGCGACGAGGTCGTCGGCCTGCCGGAAGTCGTCCGACATTTTAGCAGTGGCAAAAGGAGCGGAGACCACGCAGGTGTCCACGTGTGAACCACTATAGTCATCGGCGACCATCAACCACCACCACCACCACCATCGTCATCGCCACCTACCACTACCTCTACCATCGGCAGCATCGCCACCACCACAGTTACACCGCCGTTACACCCACCCGCGCGCGACTTTGATCGTCGCGCCGCGGATCCGCTTCCTCGGCCGTCGTCGCGTTCCGCCGATCCCCGCGCGCGGGAGAGAGAAGGAAGGAGGAGAGACGGCGGTTACACTCGAGAGTTTCACGGCCGCGACCCGATTGCGATCGGCGAAAGGAAAGAAGGCTCGCGAGAAGAGAGCGAAGAGAGGCAGTAATCTTCGCGTGCCTACGTGCGTGTGTCGTGCGTGCGTGCGTGCGTGCGTGTGATCGGAACTCGCGCGCGTCTCTCTCCGTCGCGCCGCCGCGCGCTGTGCGCCTCGCCGTGTCGGTGGTCGCACAGTGCTTGCGCGTCGTGCCGCGCCGCGCGTGCTACTCGTCCTTCTCGTTCCTGTGTGTCGTCATCGCGCAGCGTTCTCTCCCGCGTTCGACAAAGAAAGCGCGCGAGCGCGTGCTGAACGAGCGCGCTCTCTCGTACATCCCAGTGACAGCCCACGACGCCGATAACCGCCGTTCCCTGTTTCGCCTTCAGTGCCCGTTGCGACGTGAGTTCTTCTTTCGCCGGGAAGAGTACATCCTAACAGACACACATATACATACACACACACACACACGCGCGCAGCATACACGCGTGCGTCCAGTTTTCGTTTCCCTCCGACCGTCTTCGCGATCCCTCTTCCTGGTTTCTCCCCCTGAAGTGAAGTGTTGCGACTGTTGAGCAGTGGTGAAACGTACGTGGTGCCGCGCGTTCTACGCATACATATGCATATGTATATGCACGAGTATATTCGTATCGTCATCCAGTGTTCGCGACCGTGCGGCTCGCGCGTGTGTTGAGTTTTCTTGTTTTCTTCACCGACCGGACCTACCTGCCTGCCTGCCTGTCTGTCTGCCTGCCTCCGCCCCCCTCCACGAATCAGTCTCTCTCACACAACACATACATACGTACACATACACGCACGCTCTCTCTCTCCGTTACACTCGGCCTCGCCAGCGTGTTTTCGAGTATCGTCCGCGACGACGACGACGACGAGGAGGAGAAGAAGAAGAAGCTGACGGCGAGTGCGGCAGACAAAGAGAACACGTTTCTGCACCGTGGGCGACACGCATCTCCAACGCGTATTCAAGGTACGTGCGGTGCAACGTGCGTATCGATTCACGCGAAATTTTCCGCTCGCGAAATCGCCCGCGCAGTTTTGAGGTTAGGTCGGCCGTGCGCTCAAGAGGGACGCGAAGTTGGTCCCTTCTAGCCGCGCTCGCAGTCGATACTTGAAACGAACTCGCTATCGATACTTAAAATGGAGTAGATCCGCACTTGAGACTTGGCAAAAAGAAGGAAGGAAACTGGCTAGCCAGTAAGCGGACAGGCAGGTGAGAACGATCTCGAGAGGATGCGGAGAAACTCTCGATCGAACGGTCGACAGGCGACGCGTGTCACTCGCGTTCGTCGTCGCGTCGCGCATTGTTTACGAGTTCCTTCCTTCCTTTCGCTTATTCGTCACGCACACATGCGTGCGTGCGTGTGTTTTGCGTGTGCCGTGAATATCTGAGAGCGCGCGCGAAGACACCGCGGGCAAAAAAGCTCGAGTGAAAAAATGCGAGATCGTACCGACTGAACGCTTGGCCGCCCGCCTCTTGCCGTTCGAGGCGGACCTAACCTCAAAGCTCATCGCGACAGGTACGTACGCCTCGGTCGTCCCTCTCTGTCGCTTCGCGCTGGCTTTCGCCGCGCACCCGCCGCGAGTCCCGCTTCTTCGTAGCGGCGCGCGGCCGCTGCCCGCTGGAAAACAGCTGTTTAAGCGGCGCCGCGAGCGGCGAGCTCTTGCTCTTTTTTTCGTCGCCGTGATCTCCCTCTCCCTCTTTCTCCCTCTTTTTCTCTCTCTCTCTTTCTCTCTTTCTCGCGCTCCCTGTCAGAGTCTCCGCGGAGGCGACGCGGCTTCACCTGCGAGTTTGCTTCGCAGAAACTCGTGCATAAATTCGCGAATATCAACGCGACGGGCGTTCTCTGTGCCGTGAAGCATCTGTCGACGACGGACGTGTCGGTCGCGATGTTCAATCGACTCTTGCGGCTCGTCTTTTTCGTTTCTGCAAGTCTCGCGCAAAGTTATCGCGTTATCACGAGTTAACGTAGAAACACCGTCAACTATAACATTACAGGCTCCTTCGAACTGCTTGCGGACCAATCTGAGATCGTCTCTTCTTCTCTGGATTGTGGCGCTGATACGAGCGCGAAGGAGGAGGACTAATCAGAATTAATGCGTTAGTTTGACGTTTGTGCAATTTAATGTGGTTGAGCCACAGTCTGTCTATTTGTCTGTTTAATCAGTAGTCCTTAATTCATTTCTTCCGTTCTTTATAAAGCTCGTTATTGCGTCGTGCACTCGAGCCTCGTCATCCTCGACTGAAGCGTATCAATGCGTCAATGCTGCTCCGAAATATCTCAGACGGCCCCGCACCGCCAACGCGCGCCACCTCCTCCTTCTCGGGGAGAAGAAAGAGAGAGAAAGAGAGAGGGAGGGAAGGACAGAGAGAGAGATTCCTCGGAACGGAACAGATCTCATCTTCCGCTCGTCGTCATACGTTCGCGCGAAACGAACGGTCAGGAATACAACGTGTCGGGGATGTGTTGTATAAAGCACGCTCGAAGGCGCACCGCGCGCGCTCGTCCGTCCGTCCGTCCATCCGTCCGTTCGTCCTTGCGCCGCCGCGTGTTTCGTATTATCGCGCAATCGCGCCGTTAAACCGCGAACGATAGGTAACCGGGGCGGTGTTACCGCTGCTCGCAATCGCAGCCGCCACCGCCGTCGCCGCCGCCGCCACCGCCGCCGCCGCCGCCGCCGCCGCCACCGCCGCCAAGAGAGGGCCGAGGGATGGAACGTACGCGGAAAACAAACGGGGGGAAAAATACGACGATGTAGGGCGAAATATAAAATAGAACGGCGAAATACAAACACGCGGGCGCGGTGGAAAGTGAAATATAAAATGGAACGTCGGCGGAAATAAAAATACACGATGAAAAATGGAATGTAAACTGGAGCGATGAGAGGAGCATCGAAATTCTCTCAAATGCGACCGTCTGATGACAACGATCCCCCGCGGGCCCGCGAGCCCCGAATTGACGACGGCGATACTCGGCAGATTTTAACGAACCCGCGGCTCTGACGTCGGAATAAAAATAAACACGCGCTTAATGAACCGCACGCGCGCGCACGGCGGTGGGGAATTATTATGGCTGCGAACGGGCACGCGTTCTCGCGGATGCTCCTCCACCGGCTCGGGCCGCCGCGGATCTTTGCGATCCATTAACGTGGTCAAAAGTTTTTATTGCTGCAAAAATCCTACAGGTGGCAACACCATGTAGGAGAGAGAGCAGCCGCGCAATACTCCCCGAGCCGTTGCGTCGCGCGCGCGTTTCGCATTATCGCGCAATCGTGTTATTGCGCGCGCCCGTCTCCCCCGAAAAACGAAACGGCCGAGTCGCCGGGGAAGTCCCCGGGACGTCGACGTCGACGTCGGCTGCGCTGTCGGATATCCCTCGCGAATCCGTCGGATCGTTTCTCCGCGAAAATAGATCGATTCCGCGAGGCGTGCGGTGTCGCTCTGTGCTGGAAAGAGAGAACGTTCCCTCATCTCCCGCACGTCTCGTCGTTCTCTCGCGTCTCTGCGACGCGAGACGTCGGACTCCTCGCCCTGCACAACCCGGAGCAGCAATCCCAGAACCCTAAACATGGACAAAATTTACCCGGATCGCAACTTTTCAAACGTCATCGTTCTTCAAAACACGTGCTCCCCTTTTTCGCTATAACTCTCTTCAACTTCGTTACGTCGCGAAGACATCAATGGATTCGTGTTGCTCGATATTTTCTGCATCGATTAAAGGAAAAAAGCATTGAATTTTGGTAGTTTCTGCGGATGTTGCGTGCAAGTGAACATGCGTTAGGTAAAATTTATTCATGTCTAGAGTTTTACGTGACTTTTTGATGCTTCTAGGGTTAATAACAAATCCGTGCTTTGTTATTTATTTTATTACGTAAAAAATGCAGCTGGCCTCTCTCTTTCTCAATACTATTTCTCTCTCTCTCTCTCTCTCTCTCTCTCTCTCTCTCTCTCTTCCCCTCCTTGTGGCGACGGCGGTTCTGTCGATCGCGCGCGCGATGTATTTTCAGCCATCGATCTCCTCCGTCCACGTGTACGTGCATGGCTTTCCGAAATAACATCCTAATTTTGGTGCGGCGACGTTATTATCAGTTTGATATTAAATTACGTGCATCGAATCAATAACTCCCGTACCGAACGAGTGGACGCATCGCGCGTGATTACGACAGTAGCGGGTCTTTCTCTCTTTTTTTCTCTGTGTTTCTTTTTTCTTTCTTTTTCCTTTTTCGCAAATTGCCGAGGAGGAAGGCCTACCCCGGTTGACAGAAGGGAGGGATTCGTCCTCCTCCTCGCGCGCGACGAGGAAGAGGAGGCTCGTCGCGGTAGCATTCATTGTCAGATTTCCACCTTATTGATTCGGTACGACTTTCGACGACGCGCCGGGACGCTAATAATGCCGTGTTCCCTGAAACAACGTTGAGTCACGGCGCTTACGTGCCGCACTTAAAACAAGAATGTGGCACGCTCGTATTGATCACAATATGATTTCGCGTCTCCGTACGTCTTCCCGTTTCTCTGAATGACGGATTCGGAATGCAGCGCATTGTCTTCTTCGCGCGCGGCTTATAAACTAATTATAATCGCGGCGCGAATTGCATTTTTCACGCGCGGTCAGGTCGCGTCACGTGTGCGTTGCGCATGTTCCCGTTTCGTGCGCGATTCTCTTGCAAGCTTCCTACGCGCCCCGTCGATTCCATCAAATGCGTCATTATCGCGACGGTGTGACAAAACGTGAACGTGCCTCTCTTTTCATTCGTGGATCAATTCGCCTCGGGCAGGCGTGTTGGGAAGTCGGCTCGCGCGGCTCGCTCCAGCCGCGCAGATTCTTAATTCCGTCGCGATTACGTCGCGCGAAGTTCAATGGAAAAAAAATATCGGACGCCGATAAGACGCCGGTTGTGATGCAATACGCGGATAACACGTGGCGAATGAGCAGAGGAGGGCTTGCTCAACACGTACGCACAAGTGAACACACACACACACACACATGGACGTGCGCGCGCTGGGATTCAGTGTGCTGACTCTCGAAAGATGGCCGCGCGTGTTGCGATCTCTTTTTCTCTCTCTCTCTCTCTCTCCCTCTCCTTTTTTCTTTTCTTCTTTCTTTCTTTTCCACGCGACGCCTGCTTAATCAGCGCCGGCGCGTTTCCTTATCGTTTGGAGTGTGTACCGTGACTGATTCACCCGGCTCGGCGCGATACCTAATCGTGCAATTCCACGGACTTGCCTCGCGCCGTGATTACGCTCCTTTTTCGGCGATTTCGCAACCGCGCTTTTGGGAGGAAGAGGACAGCCGGGCACGCGCGCGCGCGCCGGTATCGATGGTAGGTCAGTTACGGGCGGGCGATTTATTATCGGTCGCGGGGTTATACCCCCGGTCTGTTTTAATATTCGCCGCGCTCGCGCGGCTGAGGAGATGTTATTCGGATTTCTTTTTTCTTTTCGGAGCTTATCAGAGCGCCGGTCGCGCCTTCGTTTGCACAGAGAAAGAAATCGCGCGCTGATAAAGCGCACACGCACACGTGCCCGCGAGACGGATGCTGCTCGGCGCGATTACACCGAGTCGCATTGTCGCCCCTTCTCCCCGCCGCCCTTTTGCCGCCCCGCGGAATCTTACCGAGGCTTGGTGAGGTCGAGAAAAATTTCGCAATTCTGAAATTGGGGCGCCGGTGTGTCGGCGTCGTCTCGCGCGCGCGCGCGCGCGACAAAACGCGAAGATCGGATCGGAGCGCCCTTACAGGCTCAAACAGACTAGCCCAGCCTTTACGGCGCCACAGAGAAGCGCCACGTACGGACGGGTTGCGCGAAACACACAATAGCACCACAAACCTGTCACAAGACCGGCAGGACGCGAGGCGCAGACACAACGGCTCCATATTGCACTGAGACAATTGTGTCCCGTGCTGTTCCGGTCTCACGACAGGTTTGAGCTTTTATTTGTATAAATGACTCTGAAGCGCTTCTCTGCGTCG